ACCGGGGCCTGCGGACCCAGCGTGGACCCCCCACCCGGGGAAATCCCTGCTGCAAGAGGCCCCAGCCTTCCACAAGGTGACATTCCATATGGATGCGGCTGGGGATGCTCTGGGCTGGTTGTGAGCTGCATCAGTTCCACTCCTGGAAAATCCCTTTCCCTATTATAGCAGCAGCGTTGAAAATGTATGAAAAGTTATTCATTCTAGTATGAGAATGTATTCATTTTGCCACTATATATACATATTCAGATTTACATTGTGATGCAGTGAGGTTGAGGGATTTTACTGGAGAGCTTGGAATTTTGCTGGAGGCTTTGCGGTGGTTTGTGCTTATGTATAACAAAGTAAAGGACTGGGAAATAAGGATTGCTTAATGAAGGATAAAGGATACCCCTAGGCAATTGGGATAATGCAGCATTTGACATGGCTTTGAAAGTGTCCCAGCATCATTGAGCATCAATAATTCTAGCAAGAAGGGCTCTGAGGATGACTGGATCATGGAATCAAAGATTATCCTAAGGTGGAAGGGATCCACAGAGGTCATCAAGTCCAACCCCTGGCCCTGCACAGGACTACCCCAAAAATCACACCCTGTGCCTGAGAGCCTTGTCCAAACAGTTCCTGAATTCTGTCAGGCTTGGTGCTGTGACCACTTCACTTCACTGGATCACTAGACAAGCAGCAAGAACGCTGGAAAAACAGAATCACTGAGGTTGAAAAGCCCTCTAAGATCATCGAGGCCAACTGTTAACCCAGCCACCACCATGTTCACCACTAAACCAGGTCCCAAAGTATAACCTCCATGCACCTTCTGAACACTGGCAGGGATGATTCCACCACTGTCCTGGGCAGCCTGTTCCCATTCCTGACTGCCCTTTTCATTTTCTCTAATATCCAATCTAAACCTCTTCTGGAACAACCTGAGGCTGTTTCCTCTTGTCCTATTGCTCATTACCTGTGAGAACAGACTGATCCCCTCCTGACTACAACCTACTTTCAGGGAGTTGTAGAGAGCAATATGGTCTCTCCTGAGTCTCCTTTTCTCCAGGTTGAGCCCCTCTATCTCCCTCAGCCACTCATCATGAGACTTATGCTCCAGACCCTTCCCCAGCTCTGTTGCCCTTCTCTGGACACACTCCAGTACCTCCATGTCCTGCTTGCAGTGAACTTCGCAAAGTTCTACTCTCATTAGCAATCAGTAATGTGGGCATTAGTGATTAGTTGTGTTGTACCTGAAGGATCAAAAAGTAGAGGAAACTTATGCAAAAACCCATTTGTGGTGCCCAGTTTGCCTGGGACACTTCATGTGCAGGAATAAATATTTGCCCCTGTAATTCCCTACTTTACGTCCCAGCCTCTCACCACAGTCGGCACAGGCCAGCTGTGGGTTTTGGTGACGCAGCACAGCCAGCCCAGCCCACAGCTCTGCTGCCCCTGGGGAGGCTTTTCCCCCTCCTCCAGCAAAGCAGCCGTGCAGAGCCCTGGGAGCTGGTGGTTGTGCTGGCAGTGGGTGCATAAGGAGCTCTTTATGAGCTGCCTGTGGTGTGCACACAGCAGCTGCTTTGTGCAAGGGGCACTGGCTGGACACTCACCTAAGAAGGCTTCTGTGTACAGAGGGAAGGGTGTCCTGGAGGAGGCATGTCCTTCACTTGCTGTCCCCAAAGGCCCTCACCACCTTTTCAACCTCCAGCTGCTGGCAGCTCTCCCTGCACAGCGGTTTGACCATGCTGGCAGTGGCAGAGGGTACCCAAGTAGCATGGGGGGGCTGCACCTCTCTTGTCCTAGCTGCCCACCCTCTTTCAGCTGGGTGCAGAGCAGCAGTTTGAGTTCTTGGTGAGCTATGGAGCTGCAGCTTTGACCAGCCATGCAGTCAGCTCCTGTCAGAGCTGTTGCAGAGGGAAGTCTCCTGGACATAAGGAAGCATGGGCCCTGTCACTGTCTCCTGCTCACCAGGGAGCCCTGCTGTGCTTTCCAGACACTGCCAAAGGGGCTGAGGTCAGACTTGACTGTGCAGGATGTGCAGGGCAGCATGGTGAAAGGTGTCCTTGCCCATGGGAGGGGGATTGGAAATGAGGTGCTCTTTATAGTCCCTTCCAACCCAAAGTGTTTTAGGATTCTCTATTCAGCCCGTCCCCCAGTGCTGTGCTGGGAGCTCTTCAACATGCCCCCCAGGAACAGTTGTGCTGGAAGGGGCATGGACACTGCATGACCCTGCATGGGCTTGGCAGCTCTACTGGCACCCTAAGCTCTGCAAGGGGACCCTGCTGTAAGCACAGCCCACAGCTGTCCCCAGGAGCCTTGCCCAGGAACACAGGACATAGAGCAAGGAGGACACTCTTCCCACAGCCACTTTTCTTTTATTAGAGGTTACATGATACAAGGAACTGGACCTGCATGCCACATCCTCTTGGCTCACTCTATCTTTCCCCTCCATGTGCCATGTGGGCAGAGAGGAGAGGGGCTGGCAGAGGCAGGCACTCCCAGGCTGGTTGCCACACTGCACACAGGGTTTTTCCTACAGGGACACAGTTTTTGCTGTGATGGCTTTTCCCTACCAGCCATGAGCAAGCATTATGGGAGAGGGATATCTCCAATGGGACAAGAACTGGGACCACTGAGCTGAACCTGCTCCATCACTGCCCAGGAGAGACCTTGGCTTGGCCCCACACCTGCCTCCGAAGGGGATCAAAACACATATGGGGACACAAAGACTGTGACCTTGAAGATGTGCTTGCCCAGGAGGACCTTGCGGGAGAACTCGCTCATCTCCAGCTCCACCTCCAGCGTGGCTGGCCCTGCCACGGGGGTGAGCAGCAGCTCTCCCGTCTGCCGGTCGGAGCGCCGCACGGCAAAGACGCCCTGGCCCCGGCCGCCGGTGATGGTGAAGCGCAGGCTGTCGCCCACGAAGCGGGTGGTGGACATCTTGAAGAGGACACGGGGCACAGTGCGGTTGGCCTGGAGCGGCAGGTAGTGGAAGGAGATGGAGGTAGCAGCCAGGTGGCAGGCTCGGCTCTCCATGGGGCAGGGGTTCCTCTCACACTGGCTGTCAGGAAAGAGGAGATCCCACTGCTCAGTGATGCGGTTTGGCTCTCAGGGAGCTGTCCTCATCCTTGCAAACAAGCCCAGCCTGCACCACAGGCAGCATTTCTAGCCCCAGTGCCGGTTCTGCAGCAGAGCAACCCAAGACAGCCCCATTCCAAGTGTGTCCAGCATCAGGTCTCTGCCTCACGCCTGCTTTTGCCATGCCAAACACCATCACACAGCTCTGGGTGATGCTCTGAGGCTGGAACTGGGGGTACCACAGGCCAGGGAAGGAGCCATATGTGCCTCCCGAAGAGTAATTTGTCAGGATCAAGAGTGGGTGACTTGTGCTCAGCCACAAAGCAGTTTAGTCTCAAGAGTGGGATGGCTGGGACTGCTGGAAGACAGTTGATGGAATCACATGGATGTGCAGCAGAGAGAAAATAGCATTGTTCCCCCCAGGATGGGGTTCTGAGGGGGGACTGATTCCTGGACAAAGCCACCATGTATTGGGGTGCTCCCACCTACACCCCCAGCCATCAGCATCCCAAGGCCATCAGGGAGCATGCCAAGCACACCCAGGCACCCCACATGGCAATTTGCTACCAGTGCTGGTTGGGACTCAACCCGTAGCTCCTGGGTGACACAATACAGTCCCCAGGGCACCATAGGCCCCATCACCTTGGGAGAGGGCATGATGCAGCCAGAGCCACATGCAGTACTGTACTCACAAGGCAGAGGTCTTGACATAGCTGGTGTTGTGGCGTGGTGGGGGGCACTTGGGGCGCACACAGCGGTGGCCCCCAAAGGTGTTGATGCAGAGGTCACCCTGGGTGCAGTTGTGCTGCTTCCCGGCGCACTCATTCACATCTGCAGTGGTGACACGGGGTGAGTGGGGCTGTCCTCACTGCACCCCTCTTCCTGTGGGATGCTCCCTACCCTGCACACGCTGCTCTTACCCTCACAGGCATTGCGATCCGCATGGAGCAGGTAGCCAGGGGGACACAGGCAGCGGTAGGAGCCAGGGAGGTTGAGGCAGTCATGGAGGCAAATCCGGGTCTGGGGGTTGGACTGGTAGAGCTGGCACTCATCCACATCTGGGGGGTACAAAGTGGGGAATGACCAGGGGTCCCATTGCCACCAAGCCTTGGCTTCCCACCCCTCCCCACCATCTTCACCCTGCTCTTACCTTGGCAGATGCCACCAGCTCGCAGCTGGAAGCCAGCATCACAGCTGCAGCGCCGGGAGCCCAAGTGGCCCTCAGCACAGCGGGGCTGGCGGCTGAAGGAGGCATTGCTCAGCGTCACCCAGTCTGTGGGGGACAGCAGGTGTCACAGGCATGGGGAGATGAGTGGGGGCCAAGGTCCCAGGGGGTTGCCAGGGAAGGGGGAGATGGGTGCAGCACGGCTGAGTGCTGTCCCCATGCGCATCCCTGTCCTCCACAGCCCAAACCTGGGTACCTACAGGAGTAGATCGGGCTCTGGCAGGTGGGGCCTGACCAGCCTGGGGGGCAGAGGCATGTGTAGCTCTGATCATCATCCACACAGGTCCCACTGTTAGCACACGGGTTGCTGGAGCAGTCATCAATACCTAGGGAGAAGGAGCCTGTGAGCACCAGCTGGAGAAGTACATGCTTGCCCCATCCCTGGTGCCCATTGCTGCAGCCTCTGGGCAGAGCAGTGGGACCTCATGGCTCAGGGTGATGGAGGAGCCCATGGGCAGGGCTGACCCCATGGCACCCCAACCCTGCTCTACTTCACTTCTGCAGAAGGGTTGGGTGCCGCTCCACGTGCGGTTGTGCCGACAGGCGCGTGTCTCCGAGCCCACCAGCCGGAAACCGGCATCGCAGACAAAGTGAACATCGTGGCCCACCCGCACGCTCCGGCCCAGCATCCGTCCATTCAGGGGCACTGCCAGTTGTGGACAGGTCTCTGTGGACAGACAGACAGGGGTGGGGATGGACATCAGCAGGCTGGAGCTGACC